ATTCATTGTAAATGATTTTACTATAAGAATTCAAATGATTTTTATAAATGCAAAATGATTTTTACTATAAGAATGCATTGTAAATAAGTTTACTATAGAAATGCCTTGTAAATGATTTTACTATAAGAATGCATTGTAAATGATTTTACTATAAGAATGCATTGTAAATGATTTTTACTATAAGAAATGCATTGTAAATGATTTTTACTATAAGAATGCATTGTAAATGATTTTTTTTACTATAAGAATTCATTGTAAATGGTTTTACTACAAGAAAACATTATAAATGTTTATACTATAAGAATGCATTGTAAATGCCTTTACTATAAGAATTCATTGGAAATGATTTTACTATAATAATGCATTATAAATGATTTTACTATAAGAATGCATTGTAAATGCTTTTACTATAATAATTCATTGAAAATGATTTTACTATAAGAATACATTGTAAATGATTTTAGCAGAAGAATGCATTGTAAATGATTTTACTATAAGAATGCATCGTAAATGATTTTACTATAAGAATGCATTGTAAATGATTTTACTATATGAATTCATTGTAAATGATTTTACTATAAGAATGCATTGTAAATGTTTTTACTATATGAATGCATTGAAAATGATTTTACTATAAGAATGCATTGTAAATGATTTTACTATAAGAATGCATTGTAAATGATTTTACTATAAGAATGCATTGTAAATGATTTTACTATAAGAATGCATTGTAAATGATTTTACTATAAGAATGCATTGTAAAAGTTTTTACTATATGAATTCATTGTAAATGATTTTACTATAAGAATGCATTGTAAAAGTTTTTACTATATGAATTCATTGAAAATGATTTTACTATAAGAATGCATTGTAAATGATTTTACTATAAGAATGCATTGTAAATGATTTTAATATAATAATTCATTGTAAATGATTTTACTATAAGAATGTATTGTAAATGATTTTACTATAAGAATGCATTGTAAATGATTTTACTATAAGAATGCATTGTAAAGGTTTTTACTATATGAATACATTGAAAATGATTTTACTATAAGAATGCATTGTAAATGCTTTTACTATAATAATTCATTGAAAATGATTTTACTATAAGAATGCATTGTAAATGATTTAACTATAAGAATGCATTGTAAATGCTTTTACTATAAGAATTCAATGAAAATGATTTTACTATAAGAATGCATTGTAAATGATTTTACTATAAGAATGCATTGTAAATGATCTTACTATAAGAATGCATTGAAAATGATTTTACTATAAGAATGCATTGTAAATGATTTTACTATAAGAATGCATTGAAAATGATTTTACTATAAGAATGTACCAGAAATGGCTTTATCATTAGAATACATTGGAAATGACTTCTCTACAGAAATTAATATCAGAATAATCTATTACAGTGAACTTGAGAAGGTTAATTTATTGAAAACTATTTTAATAAAAAGATTTTTCCTTTTTACTAAAAATATCTTTACTTTTTAATAAAACTATTTTGTGAATTCCGACGTGAATGTTCGGCTAATGATTGCCGAATGTTTCCTGTATGGAAACAGATTTTTTTTCATAATGTCGGTAAAACTTCCTTATGATTAAAACTGGAAATTATTTTCATTTAAAAAAAAAAAATTCTCGTAACGTTCACTAAATCCCCGAATACTCCCGCCCTTGTGTCAAACACATTAGGTTAAGCCTTATTAATCTCAAGGACAAAGGCGCTAAAAGTTTGCTGACGAATTTAGTTGTTCTTATTTTGCGAGATTTCTTCTTACAGTTCCAGGCTAAAATTCGATAGGGTGATGAAAGATGTGGTTTTTGGGTGGACAGGTCTGGCCGCTGAGTCAACGCTTGGGGTGTGGTACCGACAGTGTGATATCCTTGTGGCATGCTTGGAAAGGAATGAGTAAAACTTCCCCCGGACTGTGACTAGAAAAAGCAAAGTGCAGGTGGGTTAGAAAATATTACAAGTGAAGAGAAACGTGATATTGCCAATCATTCCGGACCTGTACACACCTGCGAATGACAGTGGAAATTTATGAGGGCGTTAAATTACAAACTCCGTCCTTTCTATGTACGAGATAGCGAGAAGAGTGGGGGAGGCAAGTTAAGAAATAAGATGGGGGAGGCAAGGTAAAATAGAAGAACTGATGAAGAGAGAGAGAGAGGGGGAGAGAGAGAGAATTGTAGAGAGTGGATAGGAGATAAATCAAAGGAAAGGAAAGAGTTACGAAGCGATGGAGAGAGGAGAATGGCGGAAGTGGGGAAGGGATTCACAGTGGAAAAAGGTGACGAGAAGGAGAAAAGAGACGAGTTCAGAAATGAAACCGTGGAGCCAAGAAAAATATATAATATATAGAACGAGAGAGGGGGTAGAGAACCAGAAAATTATGACAGTGAAAATGAGAGAGGGGGAGAAAGAGAGAAGCATAGAAAAATATGGAAAAGAAAGAAAGAAGAAAGAAAGAGGGGAGAACAAAAGAAAAAGAGAAGGGAGAAATGGAAAAGAAGCAATAAAATGACAAAAGAGAGAATAATGGCATTGGGAAAAGAAACAGCAAAGAAAAAATTTGAAAAAAGAGAGAAAGAAGAGAGAAAGAGAAGATAATATAAAATGACAAAGAGAGAAAGAGAGAAGGATTCATGAAAGATTTGGGTCCCAGTTTAAGAGAGAGAATGAGAGAGGGGGGAATAAAAAGACAGAAACAGAAAAATATGACAAAGAGAGAACGAGAGAGAGGGAAAGAGAATAGAAAATGACAAAGAGAGAATGAGGGAGGGGGAGAGGCAAAGAAACAGAAAAATATGACAAAGAGAGAGAGAAAAATAAAATGACAAAAGAGAGAGAGAAGGAGGGAGAGAGAAAATAGAAAAAATGACAAGAGAGAATGAGAAGGGGAGAAAAAGAGAGAGAAGAAAGAAAATATGAAAAAGAGAAGAAGAGAGAAGAGAAGAAAATGAGAAAAGGACAGAGAGAATGAGGGAGAGAGAAAGGAAAAAAATGACAAAGAACGAGGAGAGAAAGAGAAAGGATAAAAGAAGAGAACGAGAGAGAAGGAAAAATATAGAAATATGAAAAATAGAGAAAGAGAGAGAGAGAGAGGGGAGAAAGAGAGAGAAGAGACAAAAGAGAAAAAGAAAGAAGAGAAGTGAAAGAGCAAGGGAAGATGAAAAGAGAGAATGAGGGAGGGGGGAGAGGCAAAGAAACAGAAAAAGAATGACAAAAGAGAGAAGAGAGAGAGAGAGAGAAATAGAAAAAGAGAAAGAAAGGAAAAAAAAGAGAAGAAAGAGAGGGGGAGAAAGAGATAAAGAAAGAAAGGAATGAGAGAAGAAGAGGGAAAGAGAGAGCAATAAAAATGAAAAAAGAATGAGGGAGGAGAGAGAAAAAGAGAGAGAGAACGAGAGAGAGGGAAAGAGAGAGAAATATAAAATGACAAAGAGAGAACGAGAGAGAAGGAGAGGCATAGAAATATAGAAAAATATGACAGAGAGAGAATGAGAGAGGGGGAGAAAGAGAGAGAAAAAAGAGACAAGGAGACAAAAGAGAGAAGGAAAAGAGAGAGAGACAAGAGAAAGAAAGGAGAGAATGCTGGAAGGGAGAAAGAAAGAGAAAAGCATGCCAAAATGGAGAGAAAAGAGAGAAGAAAGGAGAGAGAGATATATAGAAGGAGAAAGAAAAAGAGACGAAAGAGAAAGAAATAAAAAGGGAAAGAGAGAAGATGAAAGAAGGGAGAAAAGGGAAAGAAAGAGAGAGAAAGAAAGGAAAAGAAAGAAAAGAGAGAGAAGGAGAAGAGAGAGAGAGAGAGCAAAAGACAAAAGAGAAAGAGAGAGAGGGAGAAGGGAGAAAAAAAGAAAAATATGAGAAAAAAGGAGAGAAGAGAGAGAGAGGGAAGAGAGAGAGAGAAAGAGAGAAAAGAGAGATAGAGAGAGAGAAAGAGAGAGCAAGAAAGAGAGAAGGAAAAATATGACAAGAGAGAGGGAGAAGGAGAGAGAGGGGAAGGGAGAGAGAAAAAGAAAGAAAAAGATAAAGGGAGAGAAAAGAGAGGGAGAGAAGGAAAGAGAGAGAGAGAAAAAGGGAAAAAGAGAAAAGAAGAGAGAAAGGAGAGGGGAAAGAGAAAAGAGAAAGAGAGAAAGAGAGAAGGAAAAGAGAGAGAAAGAAAAATGACAAAGAGAGAACGAGAGAGAAGGGAGAAGAAAGAGAGAAAAAATGACAAAGAGAGGGAAAAAAGAGAGAAGGAAGAAGAGAAAATATGAGAGAGAGAAGGGAAGAGAGAGAGAGAAATTTTAAGAGAGAGAAAAGAACAAAGAGAGAGAGAGGGGAGAGAAAAGAAAGAAAAAAAAAAGAAGGAGAAGGACAGAAAGAGAGAAAGAGAGAGAGGGAAAGAGAAAGAAATTTAAAAGAAGAAAGAGAGAGAAAGAGGAGAGAAGAAAGAGAGAAAGAGAAAAAAGGAGAATGAAGAGAGAGAAAGAGAGAGAAAGGAAGAGAGAGAGAAGAAACAGAAAAGGATGACAAAAGAGAACGAGAGAAGGGAAAGAGCAAAAGAAAACAAAGAGAGAGGAATGAGGGAGGGGGAGAGAAGGCAAAGAAACAGAGGGAAAAAAATGAGAGAGAGAAAAAGAGAGAGGGAAAAGAAGAGAAACTGTTAAAAGACAAAGAGAAGAGAGAAAAAGAGAGAGAAGGAAAGGAAAGAAAAAAGAAAGAGAGAAGGGAAATAGAGAGGAAGAATAGAAAAATATGGGAGAAAGAGAAGAGCTTGAGCAAGGGAGAAGGGAGAGAGAGGGGGCAAAAAAAGAGAGAGGAAGAAAGGAGAAAAAATGACAAAAAGACAAAGAGAGAACGAGAGAGAAAAGAGAGGGAAAAAGAGAAGAAAGAGAGAGAAAGAGAGAGAGGGAAAGAGAGAGAGAAAGAGAGAGGAAAAGAGAGAATGAGGGAGAGGGGAAAGAGAAAGAAAGAGAAAATTATGAAGAGAGAACAGAAAAAAGATTTAAAAAGAGAAAAAGAGGAGAAAGAGAAGAGAGGGAGAGAGGGAAAGAGAGAAAAGAAGGAGATAAAAGAGACAAAGAGCAAAAGAACGAGAGAGAAAGAAGAGAGAGAGAGGGAAAAGAGAGGGAAGAGAGAGAAAATTTAGAAAGAGAGAGAAGAAAAAGAGAGAGAAGAAAGAGAGAAAAGAGAGAATGAGAGAGAGAAGGGAAAGAGAGAGACAAAAAGGAGAGAAAGAGAGAGAGAAGAGAAAGAAAGAGAGACAAAGAGAAAGAAGGAGAGAAAGAGAGAAGAGAGAGAGGGAAGAGAGAAAGAGAGAGGCAAAGAGAGAGATGAGGGAGGAGAGAAGGAGAAAGAGAAAGAGGGGAAAAAGAGAGAAAGAGAGAAGGGAGAGAGAAAGAGAGAGAAGAGGGAAAAGAAAGAGGGAAAGAGAGAGAATGACAAAAAGAGAGAAGAGAGGAAGAGAGAGAGGGAGAGAGAGAAGAAGAGAAGAGAGAGAAAGAGAGACAAAGAAAGAGAGAGAGGGAAGAGAGAAAAGCAATAGAAGATGACAAATTAGAAAGGGAGAAGAAAGAGAAAGAAAGAGAGAAAGAGAGAGAGAGAAGGGAGAGAGAGAGAGAGAGAGAAAAGATAAAATGAGAAAGAGAGAAGAGAAGAAGAGAGAGAGAGAAATAGAGAAAAAAGAGAGAGAGAGAGAGAGAGAACAGAGAAAGAGAGAGAAAAAAAAAAAAGAGAGTTGTTTAAAGAGAGAGGGAAAGAGAGAGAGAAAAAGAGAATGGGAAAGAGAGAGAAGAGACAGAAGGGGAAAGAGAGAGAAAATAGAGGGAAAGAGAGAGAAAGAGAGAGAGGGAAAGAGAGAGAAATTATAAAGGGAAAGAGAGAGAAGAGAGGAGAAAAAGAGAAGAGAGAAAGAGAAAAATTTGGGAGAAGAAGAGAGAGAGAGAGAGGGGAAGGGGAGAGAGAAAGAAGAGAAAAAAGGGAAGAGAGAAAGCAAGGAGAGAAGAGAGAGAGAGAAATAGCAGGGAAAAGAGAGAAAAAAAAATTTAGGGGCAGAAAAAATAAAGAGAGAAGAGAACGAGAGAGAGAGAAAGAGAGAGAAAGAGGTGAGAAAAGAAAGAGAGAGAAGAAAGAGGCATAGGAAATATAGAAAGAAATCAGAAAGAGAGAGAAGGAGAAGGGGGAGAGAGAGAGGAGAGAAACAGAAAAGATAGACAAGTACAAATGGAAAAAGAGAGAAGGAAGGAGAGAGCTCAAAGAAAAACAAAGAAAAAATGACAAAGAGAAAGGCAAAAAGAAGGAAAGAGAGAGAGACATAAAATGACAAAGAGAGAAGAAAGGGAGAAGCAAAAAGAGAGAGATTAGGGGAGACTTAAGAGAGAGAGAAATAAGTGGAGAAGGGAAAAGAGAGAAGAAACAGAAAGAGATGACAAAAAGAGAAGGGAGAGAGAGAGAAAAGAGAGAGAATAGAAATGGAGGAGAATTGAAAGAGGCAAAGAAATGAGAAAAGAATAACAAAGAGAAAGGAATGAGAAGGGAAAGAGAGAGAGAAAGGAAAAAAAGGGAAAGAGAGAGAGAGAAAGGATTTTTTTTTTATTAGCAAGGAGAAGGGAGAGAGAGAAAGCAAGGAGAAGGGAAAAGAGAGAGAGAAAGAAGGAGAAGGGAGGGACAAAGAGAACAATTAAGAAAGGAGAAGGGAAAAAGACAAAAATAAAATGGCCAAAAGAAACAGGGATTGAATGGAGGATAGAAGGAAAAATTGCAGAAAGAATAAATTGTGATTAGATATATTCATTTCTGAGTAAATTTCTGGCATAAAGGAAATCAGACACTATTAAATGCAAATTGAAAAAATAATGCTACAACGTTTTATTATCTTGTTTGCATCAAATGTTATTTCGAACCAAATAAAACCAAATAAATTCTTACCTTTTATTTTTCTGGAATAGCCCAACGTTTAGAATTAACCATATTCTTTGGAAAGAAAAAAAAGTTCTTAAAGAAACTAAAGATTGCTTGGTTTCCACTGGATTAGGATTAACTCAGAGATTTTTCAAATTACTATGTCTACGGATATCTTGTTTTAGTTTTTATTGTTAGTACTGCGAAACTATGGAAATAGCCCTGTTTCCACTGAGTAATTCAATATACACTGCTTGGCCCAGGGATTGAACTCACAATTATTATGTCTAGGGATATCTTGTTTAGTTCTTATTGTTAGTACTGCTCACTTATTGCTTGCTCTGTTTCCACTGAGTCCAATAACTGCCTGGCCCAGGGAATGAACTCACAATTACTATGTCTACGGATATCTTGTTTAGTTCTTATTGAGATATCTTGCTGAACTATTGAACTTTGCCCTGTTTCCACTGAGTCCAAGACTATGCCTTTAAAGGGATTGAACTCACAATTACTATGTCTACGGATATCTTGTTTAGTTCTTATTGTTAGTACTTTTGAACTATTTTATCGCCCAGTTTCCACTGAGTCCAAGTACGCACTGCCTGGCCCAGGGATTGAACTCACAATTACTATGTCTACGGATATCTTGTTTAGTTCTTATTGTTAGTACTGCTGAACTATTGCTCGTCCAGTTTCCACTGAGTCCAAGTACACACTGCCTGGCCCAGGGATTGAACTCACAATTACTATGTCTACTGATATCTTGTTTAGTTCTTATTGTTAGTACTGCTGAACTATTGCTCGTCCAGTTTCCACTGAGTCCAAGGACACACTGCCTGGCCCAAGGATTGAACTCACAATTACTATGTTTAGGGATATCTTGTTTAGTTCTTATTGTTAGTACTGCTCATTTATTGTTCGCCCTGTTTCCACTGAGTCCAAGTACACACTGCCTGGCCCTGGGATTGAACTCACAAATAGCGTCATCAAATTCACGAACCTACAGTTTAATCCAGATTCGGTTTAGGGCTCCATATTCACTACTGGGAATTGTTCTATGGGGCAATAAACTAGTTTTTAATTCGGTGACATAGTCATTGTTAGCTCTGCTTGTCAACTTCGGGTAAAGAAGAACTCAGATGAAGCTACGTCTACAGTCAGAGCCTTTTCTAGGGAAGAGAACTTGAGTAACTACAGAGTTCAATCCCTGGGTCGGGTAGTGTGGACTTGAACTCAATAGAATCAATAACTGAGAAATACTAAAAATAAGAAGTAGACGGTATCCCCCGACATGAACAGTGGAATGAGAACAGTCTAACCTCGCTGATTAATTAAAGGATTTATTTCAGAATTCCTTGTAGGGTACCCAGATGAAGGCAGGGGTGGGGTACAACAGCCGAAACGCTGTGATAGCAACAAAGATTAGGACAATAGTCCGACTGTAAATATTATTAATTAATTCCTGCTTTTATTTGTCTGGATTATTCTTCAAAATAAAGTGTCATTACATTTTGTTCAATTCAATATTCACCATTGTTTACACTTGTTCTCAATTATCAGGCGCCTTCTCGATATCTTTTGAATAAAATTTAATCGGTTTTCATATGAAATATTTTCGACAAACACTTGAATCCGGTTTACATAAACAAAGGTTCACCTATATCTCTGAGATGAGGTATTATGATTGATTATTTGCATTATTTACATCATTCGGACTGTTATCCTCATATTCATTGCCATATCCACAACATTTCGTCCGTTGTACACTCCGGCCTTCTTCAAATTCTGAGATGAGGTATTGTGATTATTTGTATTATTAACATTATTCGGACTGTTATCCTCATCTTCATTGCCATATTCACAATATTTCGGCTGTTGTATGCTCCGTCCGTCTTCGGGTGATTAGAATTTCGAACCGAACCCTATATTTCGTCCACCGGGGTAGATCGTTCTAGCTCCACGTGCCATGCCTCTTCCGGATATCTCAGTTATTTCCCTTTAAAAACCCTCCATTTTTTTTTTTTTTTTTGGTTCACCACTGTTGTGGCCTGGTATTGAACTCACAACTCTTTGAGTCTAGTCACCGGATCTAACCAACGTATCTATCCACTGAGTCAGGTGTCCTTGTGAATATGTCAATGAAGATGAGGATGACAGTCCGACTAATGCAAAGAGGGTTTGCCTTATGAAAGTGTTTGGCAGCAGTCGATATTGGTAACAGATCTGACGAATATGGCGGTTGAAGAAGAGCAGACCATCAGAGCGTCCCAATTTTGTTTCCGATGTTTTTCTTGCTGTAGGCGGCGTTGTATTGTCATGGAGCAGAAATAACATTTTTTTTCCTATTGACAAATGCAGGGCGCTTTTCCACCAAGCTTTTATGGCCACGTTCCAGCTGCTGGACATATAAATGTGCATTTAGGATTACGTTTTATGAAATTGAAATGAATAATACCTCGACGATCGAACCACAGGTACGATATTAAGTGTTATTCACTGACTATTCTTCCACGTAGCTCAGTCTTTGGGATCAGTTGTGGAGATTCAGCCTTGTCATTCTAATGTCTTTTGAGGTAAGCATTGTCATATGTAACCAATTTTTCATTACCTATTACACTTCAGGAACATTTCAGGAACGATTATTTAGTACCATACTGGGTATCACGACAAAATTGTCCAAAACGTCTTAACCCGCAAAATTGTCCTGGGTATGACGATAAACTACATCCGGCAGCAAGGCCACTGATAAGGAGGTTTAGAGGAGCGTAGAACCACTTCCTAATTGCTGTTGTTCCCAGGTCCACCCTGATCCGGGATGGTAGCACTTGTTAGAGTCCCAGCTATAGAGAAATAGTTAACCCCGAAACTGGGGTCAAAACACTATGAAAGTGCAAAAATAGGGTTTAACACCAGCAATACATTGTTGTAAAAAAAATATTTCTCGCAATAAATTTTTGGAAAAAAATATTACCAGCAATAAAAATCTTGTCGATATTATATAACACATTGAGGTTGATATACCATAAAACAAAACAAAACAAACCGTATAATTGCCCATCCCACGAAATGTTTAATATAAAAAAAAACAAAAAAAAAAACAATTGAATTTCTTTTTTTTTCCAGGTTTTTATATAGGACGGTTAGCTATCTTGTAACCATTTGTCGTAAGAATCATTGAAAAACCCTTCGAGGTATTCAACTAGAAAGAGAACTGATTAAAATCGTTTTGTGTCTGACTCACAGTTTTCTCAAATAAGCAATGGTGAGAGAAATAAAGATCATTCACACCTTCAGTAATGGTACCAACATTCATACTCTGTCCCCATTCATCGAAGTCCATTCAAGAACCATCAAGAGGACGGTGAATAAGTTTAAAAACGAGGAAACAGTAGAGACGGTCACAAGAGGAAGAGGGATCATCATTTCATCTTAGAGCTAAAGAGATCAATTAGAAAAGATCCAACTCAATTCATTAGACGTTTGGCACGCTTGAGAGGAGTTTCAGCTATGACAGTCCAAAGAGCAGTGAAAAGAAGACTTGAAAATGAAAGCGTCCGTCAAACCTGTGAGGCAGCTTGTTATTCTAGGATAGAAAGTTACAGAGGGCGAAGATCATTTGAATAAGTTGGAAAATGATCCTGGAATAATATATATGTCTTAAGGAAAAAGACAATAGGAAAACTGTAGATTTGGTCGAAGCGTTTCGTCCAATGTGGACGTTTTTCAAGGCAAAAAACGAAAATGTCCACATTGGACGAAACACGTCGACTACATCTACAGTTTTCCAATTGTCTTTTTCCTTAAGGCATATTGTCTTTTTTCTACGGGTTAATTCTGAGAAATGTTTACAATAATATATATGGTATCAAATGACAATTGGAAAAAAATCATACATTTTGCCGACGCGTTTCGTCTTCCGAATTTTTCAAGGCAAAAAATGAAATCGAAATATTTTTTGTTGTTATAGTTACATTAAAATTCAAAATTAAAAAAGATAGACGCTTGTGTGATTAAATTTTTGAAATGGTTAATGTAACAACAAAACATTTCGATTTCATTTTTGTCTTGAAAAAAATCGGAAGACGAAACGCGTCGGCAAAATGTATGATTTTTTTTCCAATTGTCATTTGATACCAATCTGTCTTTCCACAGAATTCATCTGGGAATTAATATATATATATATATATATATATATATATATATATATATATATATATATATATATATATTGAATTTTATTTCAATCCTTCATGAGCTTCCAATCCTTGGCTATGATTAATTAATGATGAACATGTCTTTTTCGTTTGTGATCAATTCTTCTTGGAGAGTAATTATACATTCTTATTGCTCAAAGTAGAGTCCAAGTTTGTTTTGCACGATTTGGACAATTTTGCTGTTACACCCGGTACATTCATCATGACAATTGGTTCCCCACAAATGGAAATTACACGTGAGAAGCTTATAGATAAAAAATATGGTTTTATAAGTCATTTCAGTTTACAATACTCTGTTTTAAGATATTTTTATGTTTATACATTCTTTTTATACATACAAATATTTAAGTAAAGGACACAGGATCGAATCCAGTCGGAGGACGAATATTTTCTATGAAAATTTCTTGGACATTCAGGCCGGTAAATGATATTAATACTGTTTGTTATAAACAGAGAATTTACTTAAATAATTGTATCTATAAAAAGAATGTATAAACATAAAAAATTCTTAAAATAATTGTCGGACTTTGTCTATTTCATAATGTGACGTCATTTGTTTACATTTGGATACGCTTTGAGCAGATATGAATGTACGTGAGAGATTCATGGAAGTTTAAAAACAGTAAATTCGACCTTGCTAATCGAACGCTCCTCTGTGGCCAAATCGCTTAAAGGCACGTCAAGCTAAATGACGGTTCCGTATAGGATACAGGTTCGAATCCTGTCAGAGGACGAATATTTTCTGTGAAAATTTCTCGGACATTCAGGCCGATAAATGTTGTTTTATACTGTTTATTATAAACACAGCATTTACTTCAATATTTGTATCTATAAAAACAATGTATAAATATAAAAATGTCTTGAAATAATTGTCAGACTTTGTCCATTTCATTATGTTTGACGTCATTTGTTTACATTTTGATACGCTTTGAGCAGATATGAATGTACGTGAGAGATTCATAGAAGATTGTAGTTTAAAACTGTAAAATCGATCTTGCTAATCGAACGATTTTCCGTGGCTCGATCGGTTAAGGCACGTCAGGCTGTATGACGGTTCCGTATAGGATACAGGCTCGAATCTTGTCGGAGGACGAATATTTTCTATGAAAGACTTCTCAGACATTCAGGCCGGTAAATGTTGTTTAATACTGTTTATTATAAAACAGAGCATTTACTTAAATATCTGTATCTATAAAAAGAATGTATAAATATAAAAACTTTGTCCATTTCATAATACTCTGTTTACAATTAGATTGGATTGAGTGAATATCCAGTATGGTGATAAATCAGGTGAAATCTTCATTATCTGAGTAAAAAATCTTTAATAGATTTTAAGAAATCTAAGATAAGTTAGTACAGGAAAGAAAAAAAAGGACTTAGTATCAATCGTAAGGTGACAGAATGCGTGGTCATTAGCTGCGTCTCATAATTTTACTGTTGAAATTGCAAATAACCGTAAGTTCTATGCTGATTGTTTATTCTCTCGCCCTTCTCGTTTGTGGATCTCGCTTCTGGCTTCCTGTGACCTTGCGTTGCCATTTTTCCTATTGACCAATGTAGGACGCCTTTCAACCAAATTTTAATGGACACGATGCAGCTGCTGGACATAAAAATGTGCATTTAGATTTTTCATTGCGTTTTAAGAATTTTTAATGAATAGTACTTTGACGATCCCACCAGGATAATAAATTTTATTTTATGGAGATACGCTTTTGAGTTTGATTGTGGCGATTCAGCCTTATCAAACTTCTAACATTTGCGTTGAACAATATCATTTTTCATCACCTGTTATGATATCTTTAAGAAAAGATTAGTTACGATGATACATTCGTCAATAAATTTAGATAGATAATTAATAAATTTAGATAGATAGATAGATAGATAGATAGATAGATAGATAGATAGATAGATAGATAGATAATTGGATTTTGCAAAGAATCTCTACATATGAGGAAAGGGAGCTTTGAAAATGTGATACTCACATTTGCAAATACATACATATATATATATATATATATATATATATATATATATATATATATATATATATATATATGTAGAGATAGATAGATAGATAGATAGATAGATAGATAGATAGATAGGGATAGAGAGAGAGACACATACATAGATTCGAAATGAGTGGGATAAATGGATATGAATAGAATGAGATAGATAGATAGATAGATAGATAGATAGACTCGATTTTGTCAAGAATCTCTAGATATGAGGAAAGTGATCTTTGAAAATGTGATACTCACGGGACATGTTAGAAGACAAGAGGGACAAAGGAAAACGACGCATGAGTTACCGAACGAGCGTGAGAAAATGGCTGGAAAAACAGTGTTTAGCAGAGACAACGAAAAGACAAACTTCATTAAGAGCTACAAAGGAGAGGAAATTGTGGAGAGCCATGATCGCCAACGTCCAGAAAGTTACATAGCAGAAGGAGTTTATTTAATGACTGCGTTGCACTCGCACTAGTGATCGTAGAAGAAACCCAGTAAATGGTCAAGATTTCTAATAAGGATTATCAAAGTAGGCATAATTTTCTTATCACCCCCTCCCCAGCCCCAATCTGTTCCGAAATAAATTCCGAGGAACACCCATCACTTTTCCATGGAGCATAAGATCTGATCTCTTAAAATTACAGATTTCGGAGTTATGGTCATGTTGACTAATGCAATGTGGCAGTAATCCTCTGAACACGTTTGAAGAACCTCAATGGAAACGACGTATCCATGTCTCTGATTAGTTGCAAACCGATATTTATTTATTTTGATATTTGTAAAACCTCCGGTGACCAGGTTTAATCTACCGCCATGTTAGCAGTAGGGGAGATAACTCTGTACCGGACAAAGTGAAATCACTCCGGGAATTCACTAGTTTACCCGGATTAAATAAGAATTTCTCGCAAACGTTTCATCTTGCCTCGGGCGACCAGATCAGCCCGGCCAAATCAAGCAATGTCCACTGAGATCCACCATCAATCGATTGATTGATTGATAAAGATTCAGGTTTTAATAACTCTGCTGAATGATAGATCTCTGCAGCTTGTGATTGCAAACGCCACTCGGGCGAAAACGGACGATAACACTGAACCGGGGGGGTCACCTTGCCCGATATAACTGGCAATAGGCTGCCCAATAAAAATGTCCGAAGCACGAATTGTTGCGATCGCAAATGACCCGGAAAATAAAGTCAGCGCCACGGGTTCAAATTTTACTTTCAGAAGAGTTGGCGTCAATTTCGGGATAAAAGTTTAGCAAAAGGCATGAGTTTAGCCCTCCCTGACTTACTATAATTTACCTTGTGCACTATCTTGACAAAGACGTACCAGTTTAGTTAAATATAAATGGTAACACTCTCTCTCACGCTCATTCTAATTCACTCTCGCTAGACTTCTACCGATCTCTATATATGTAAAGATGGATATGCAATATGATAGGTCCTGACCTGGAATCTCGACTCCAGTCACTTTCTCACAGACGTTATGTGGCTTCCCTCTGTCTTTTCTACAAATATTTTCATGACAACTGCTCTGGCGAGCTATTTACACTGATGCCCAAATGAGCTATTTACAATGATCTATTTTCACCTAATGCCCCAATGATGCGTGAATTTAAGCATGCTACTAGATTGGCATTTCGGTCCCACCCTTTTACTGTTGAAACAGTTAAATGTAACCGCCTCTTCTACTCCAACAGCTTCTCTCGCATTTCCCTACAGTGGAACTCCATTCCTCTTATTTGCTTACCTGATAACTATAATCTTCAAAAATCCAAATGTAATATCAATCGACATCTCCTCTTTATCCTTTCCTCAAACAACCCTCTTATCTCTTACTTTCACTCTCTGTAACCCCTTGCGTGCTAGTGGCACTCCCGCCTTACTTGGGGTGAAATGCTTAATTTATATATATATATATATATATATATATATATATCCTTAATTCAGTTTATATATATATATATATATATATATATATATATATATATATATATTAACTGATTTAAAGATATGGTTCCTTTGCTACACAGGAATTACCATGTTTCAAAAACAGAAACTAACAACTTCAAAATTAATTATTTAATTAAATTAAAAGCACTAGTTCTGTTTCATTTTCAAACGAATTTTGGAATAACTTATCTTGAAATTTGCTGGGTTTTAAATGCGCATACAATTTGTTTCCAAGGATACAGAGAAATCCAATCATTTAAACATAAATTTAACGGATAAAAATGCTGCAAAACTTTTTGTTGTTTAAAAAAAACAGACGATATGCGTTGAACGGATGTCATAATTCGTTGAAAAATACACCCTTGTCCTACCTAGACATAAATTCTTTTCGAAAGTAACTCAAATTTGATACAATAGTTGTTAATAAAAATGAATACGCTACGGCCCCTGTCTAAATGAGTGCAGTTTATGGAACCGGTCCTCCTCTACCTATCAATCTTTCATGGTAGATGCCAGTCAGTGCATCACGAACAATGTGAATAAAATGTGCTGGAGACATATCACGCATGAACCACGTTCGTATTAGAAGGGGTACATCCTCTAGCAGGCCTAGAAGTGTGTTCGAATTAAAGTCCCTGTAGACAGCTCCTGTAAGACGTGCTAGGGGAACATATGACAGTCACCTACAATTCCAGCCCACACATTAATTGTAAACTGATGCTGGTGTCTAGCTTTTATCGTACCATGAAGGTTCTCATCCGCCCACAAACGTTGGTTGTGTAAATTTGTTATTCCATCACTTCCAAATGTTGCCTCAACCGTAAACAAGACTGAAGAGACAAGCAACGGATCGGCAGTTTGTGCAATATACCATCGGCAAAAGTTCTTCAGTGGTGAGTGATCAGAGGGCGAAAGACACTGCACACGTTGCAAATGATACAGATACACGAGCTGTCTTGAAGTACCCTTCATGCTAGGGCCACTTGACGTGGACTGATACGTGGATTGTTTCCGTCACCCTGTAGAATGTGTTCTTCCTGGTCAGGCATACGAGCGGATCTCGGTCATCCTCGATCCATAGTTTGTGGTGCCATGGATCCTGTCCCAGTAATGGGACGATAAACAGCGGCAAAAGGTGGATGACTCGGCTGCCTTCGGTTTGGAAAAGCAAACTGTAACAGCCGTGCAGCCTCGCGTCCATTACCATTCGCGCGGCCATATGGAAAAGTCATATCTGCCTGCTCAAGATATGAAATATCCTGCCATTGTAAAACGGGACAAGTCTCACTACTACACACGTCGAACGTTGAAGACCGACTAGCCACAAATGTACACGAATAACAAATGTAACCTAGTCTACATGGCGACACTGCGCCATCTACCGAAAACTTTCTTTAAACTTCATAACACAAAAACCAATGATTTGCGGACATATGCTTATATGGACTTTTGTCCCTGTTTTTGTGTTAAGAACCCGCCTCACCAAAGTTTATCAAGGTATTTTTGGTACCCCCTGTATATAACAGAGAGTTTCACGCTGCGCGATTTTCAAAATGTGTGTTTGCTTTCATTCGGTTTATTTTTTTTTACGTTATCCTTTTTGTTTATAAAGCTAGAGAATAAAATATGCGCTCTCCACATTTTCTCTAATATGATCCCTCGAAGTTGGAGTAATGGCTAGCGTCTTGGATTGAGGAATCAGAGAGCCGAGTTCGAATTCCAGTCGAATCCATTACATTCAGTTACGTTTTAATGCCCTTGGGGAAGGTATGAATCCTTTTCTTCTCCCCCGGGTTCTATAGCCTTGGATGGCAACTGGTCTACCGCAGAAAGTAATGGCAACCTACTGCGGGTAAAATCTGCCTCGTCAGTCATGCGTCGAATGATACATGATCGCCTAAGCATGCACATAACTGACTGATCTATCTAACTCAGTTTGTTCATATCTATTCCAATTGAATCCATTACATTCTCTTATGTGATAATAACCTTGGGAAAGGTATGAATCTTCTCCCCCCAGCTATGGGTAAATAGCAGGACAGGCCTGGTTCTATAGCTTTGAATGGCAACTGGTCTACCTCAGAAAGAAATGGCAACCTACTGCGGGAAAAAAATCTGCCTCGTCAGTCATGCATCGAAAGACACATGATCGCCTAAGCGTGTATCAGGTTTGGCACATAACTTACTAAATAAAAATCTGTCTGATTAATAAATAAAAAATCCACCCCTTTCTTTATAAATTGCTTTGTTTACATTAGGATAAGAACAGATGCATTCTATTTCAAGAGCCAGCGATAAATGTGTGCTTAAAGACGCTATTCAACTTTGCTTCGTCATCTATGCCCTCTGTACCTGAGAGGTGAATGCGAGTCAGATCTAATGATGAATTCTCCTTACATCATTAGATCGAATCCTGCCGGATTTTGCATTTTTT